TTAGCAAAAAGAATCAGAAAAGAAAGAGATGCCAACATGCAGACATTAAAGGTATAAAAGAAAAAATGTTTTAAAAAAGTTCATTAGTCAGACAGGGGACACTCCAGTTTTTTCCAGCTTGGACAGAGAAGACAGACAGTCAGAGTTTTGAGAAATTTGCTAAATGAGCTAAATGTATTGTACTGGAAGAAAAACTTGACAATTGGGGTAAAGATTTACCCTCCAGTGGAGCATCAATCCAACATGTTGAAATTTTAGGTCTAAACACATGCATGTGTACTTCACACGTTTCAGACATTTTTTTTTTCTTGCCTGCTTTCTTTACCTTCCATTGTCTGTCAATGAAGCAAACTGTCTTTGTCGTTTTATCTCTCCGTCTGCCAAGATGTGGTCCTTTATTCATTCCCGTTTGCTCCTCAGCCATCAATGATGCGGTGAAGTGCGAACACGAGCGCTCCGTCCATCTTTTCATCGACTCCCTGCTAAACGAGCGGGAGCCTGCCAAGGCCTACCAGTGCGGCAGCAACGACATGTTCGACCGCGGCATGTGTCTGAGCTGTCGCAAGGGCCGCTGCAACACTGTCGGCTACAGCACAAGCCAGATCCGCAGGCCACACAGCGTTCAGATGTACACCAAGACACGAGCTTCCATGCCTTTCAGAGGTCAGTAGAACCGGCGCAAGTGTGAACTGTGTTAAATGTGCTAATATTATTACACAAGCAAGGCAAGTCATGTTTGTTTGGAAAAGAGATTAGTAGTTGTTTGGTTGCAAAACTCTGATCACTTGCAGCTCTATTTAATCCGATGCACATTTTCAGCTTTCTAAATGCCACCTTCTCTCGCTGTCCTGATAGTTTACCATTACCAGCTGAAAATCCACTTCTCCAGTAAGGTGAACATGTCGGAGATGGAGCCGTCTCTCACCGTCTCTCTGTACGGAACCAAAGGAGAGGCTGAAAACCTGGAGCTCAAGCTGTGAGTCAGCAACTTTAAATGCTTCATCTAAGAGATTTATGGCACCATGATTTGCAGATCATGTGCAGTTTTGCAACACCTAAACAGTAGCTTGAGACGGTAACATAATCATACACACATTAACCTAACCTCAATTGGTTTTGCTTTGTCAGCGCTATCATGTTCTATGGTGCCCGTTTCTCAAGCCGGAGAGACAAAGGAAACATTTTATTAGCAGTGGTATTTCTTTGTGTGTTTTTTTTTTTTAGGAAGGAAAGACTTGAGACAAACAGGACACATTCGTTTCTTCTGGTCACTGAGACGGATATCGGCGAACTGCTGATGTTTAAGTGGATGGAGACAAACAGGTGGTCGGTGTCCAACCTGCTGAAGATGGTGTCCTCTTGGTGGTCTGGGAACGCCGAAGGTGTGGAGGTTCACAAAATCCGTATCAAAAGTGGCGAGACGCAACGAAAGTAAGTTGAGATTAGTGAAACCTCCTCCGTTGGCGCAAAAATGAAATATTCTTTTCCTAAAATATTGTTGAAATCTATGTGTAGCTGATTTTTCTCTCTACGATATCGTACCAATAATTTATGCCTTCATTTTGCTCATCGATAAATTAGTTTTTCTTTATTTTATTTTTTTTTAAAGAAGATTGGTGATAGGATAATCGGTCGCCAGCCAATCACAAGTCAATTCACAAACAGGACACTACAATACTAGCACACAATTACCTTTAGGGGCAATTTGGAGAGACCATTTGGCCTGACTTGTATATTTTTGGACTGTGCGAGGAAGCCGGAGTACCCAGAGAGAACCATTAGTGTTAGCTTTTAGCATATGCTGGGTTGAATTTATCTGGGAAGTTGGATTTCAGAACATCTTCAGACAAGCAGAAAGATTAGCTTCCCGTTGTCTTCAATCACCAGGCAACGTTTACTAACTAGAAAAAAAAAAACAGTAACATAATATTTATCAGAAACATGCTCATTTAAGCACTTTAAGTTTTTGACAGTAAAACTTCAAGTGTTTTTCCTGGACAATGGATGCAACTGATTCAGCTATATACAAAGTAGCAGAGGAGGTTGTAGATGGTTTGCTACTGTAGCTGATTTCAGTTTTTAACGCGAGAGAATGGCATGTTGCGCTTTGTGTTGGAGTCAGAAATGTGACCGTCTGAACAGAAATGGATCACAACATCAAAGCAGCTTTGTCATAAAGTTGGTGTTTGCATCTACTTTAGTTTGGAACCCGTGAATGAAGATTGATAAAGCGTCACATCAAATCAACTAACTTTCTTTTTCAGGATGGTTTTCTGTTTGAAAGACCCCGATGCCCACAGCTCACACTTGGTCACATTTGTTAAATGTAAAGATGAGTGGAGAACGAAACGTAAACCAGTTTCAAAGAGGTGAGTTAGTCTTTGTTTTTTCTATCACTATATTTCTGTGAAGCTGAACAGTGACCATGAGCTCTTTTATCCTGCAGAGTGACTCTGAAGAATGACTGACAATAAGGAAAATATGTTTAAAATGTTATCAATAAGGACATAATTTATACACTATTTGTATCTCTCAGACATAAAAACATCCTTGTACATATCTACAGATGTCGACTAATTTATGTAAATGCTGTAAAATATCTTGCAAAAATTTTTTTTTAAATGAAATAAAGTAAGTTATTTAAGGTACTCTTTCACCTTGATGCACAGCAGTGGTAGAATTTTAATTAGAAACATTTCTTTATTGTTCAGGCCTGACTGATACCTTTGTTTTAGAAAACAATTGGGAAAGACTCGCAGTGGCTGATAAAACCTAATCATTGTGTATGTTTATATTTCCAAGCACTTAGAGGTTATTTTTATGGGTCGTAGATGGATGGAAAAACTTGGTTGTTTGGTGTAAAGAGGGTAAAGGTTGTAAGTTTTCAAATGGAAAACTGACTGGATTTACCAGGTTGGATCTGCAGGTAGTAATGTCATAAAATATATAGATGCAGAAACCATAAAAAACAGACTCCTGCCTCTAAAGGAAAGGGGAAATACAATCATGTTTGATTTTTTTTTTATTTATTTTTTTTCTGTAGGGTCTTTATAAAAATAAATGTTTTTTTCCTGTATTTGTTTTGCCCACAGTCGGTCAAATCGAGCATTTACCACTCCTTAGTGTAAACACTCACCACATATTTTCTCAGTTTTTCCGCCTCTGTGTGCAATAAAGTCGTCATTTCGAATTATGACATTTACTGAAGCAGCCAAAGCTGCTGTTTTGTGTTGTAGTTTGTGCTGCTACTGTATATCTCTGTTGTGACTCAAAGATGTGGCAAACTGATAATGTATATCTATATATTTCATAAGCATGTGATGCTAGTTTGAGTATTTTCTGTGTTCTTTGGTTCCTTTTCATTCAACTAAATGTGATCCTCAGCTCTGCAGAGATCGGTACTGTTATCATTGTGACTTTATATTACATGTTATACATTTGCACAAACAGAGAATGTCTTCATGTACTGTAAATCTATCTAAATACCACAACAAAAATGTTTTCATTAAGAACCTCCGTCTTATGTTTTTGTCTTTAGATGAATGTTTTTCTATCATTTTTGTACATATTTGTAAAGGAGTCGAACACTGTGCTGTATAAATTCTTTAATAAACAATATGTGCCAAAGTGAAGCTGTCTACTTCAGTTTGACATTGTGATGGGGAAATTTGTTTATCTTTATGCTTGCAAAAAATAAAAAATATATATATTTTTGGTAATAGTTCCACTTTATTACCAAAATCAAATCTGTTTTTGATTCAAGAAGAACAGGTTAAACTCTCACATGGCCATTTCTGATGTAAAAGAGCAACAAAGCCTGAGATTACCCAAACTGGGATGCATTATTTCTTCATGTTCTTACTGTTGTGACGCACACGCTTTTTTTTTTGTCTCCCTACTGTCTCAAGGTGACACTGAGAGGATTCAAACGAAGACGCTTGAGTTAGCAGAAACATGGAGACTTGCAGCCTCTTTTAAGTAGTCATGATGACCTAAAATTATGTTTTAGCCGGGCTACTCTCTGTCCTTCCACATGGAATCCCAATTACTTTTGAAGAAAAACGTGGGAAAAAAAAATCTGTATGCACACAAGAACACAGAATAAAACGGGACAGCTCAGCCACCTGTTTCCCTCGTACACAATTAGAAACACAAATTCCTGACATTCTGTAGTGTTTGCAGAATCAGGTGCCTTTACATTGCGACTTCAGAGTCACAGTATGCGGCAGCCTTTGAGGAAACATTTTCCACAGCGCGTGTATCCCAGGAGCCTTACTGAGAATCAACCCCACCAGGGATAAGCGACGGCAGAAACATTGTGACATACAAAGATATCTGGTGACAAACCGGCATGAGGGGAGCTGAGCAGGTGTTCGGCCCCCACAGAGGCCATTTGCAGATCTCTGATTGCAACACAACACAAGGCTGTCAAAATGCATCGTTGTAGAGCAGCTCAGATACTTTAATTTCCCCCTCATCAGCAAACAGGAGTAATAAATATATTTTTTTCTATTGTAGTTCATATGCATTTCTTGAAGTGGGAGGAGTTGTGGGCGTGTCCAGGTCACGAGTGTTCAGGGGACTGCCGCACAGGCAGACTATGCAGCCCATCACTCCAGACAGAACCAGGATAACAATGAGGATGGCCCACCAATGAGCCTGCAGAGAAGAAAACATTTCTTCAGATTTAAGTACAAGAAGCACATTTTGTTAACTCCAAACAACTTGTGTTTGCAGAGGATGAGTCACTATTAAACACGGAGGCTAGTTATTCTTGCTATATATATAATTTCACCCATTTCCTCCTTTTATGTCTTGCCTATATATATATATATATATATATATATGCATGTTTATGGGATGACACATCTGCCAAATGTAACTTTTGTGTCATAAACTGTCGGTCTAAACAAAAACAGGCATGATGTAACCACCGCTTTAACACTTAATTTTACCAGTTGGAATTATATGTTAATTAAAAACTCTTTATTATATCCACATTTGTTCTTTATTTCGACAACAGTCTTGGTAAAACAACACTGAGAGCTGATAATGACAGGCCCTGTCTCCAGTGAAATGGCTTCCAGAAACCCTGCAGTGTCTTTAAGCCTAAATTAGCATTCCTGATTCGCAACACTGCAGCGTAAAACTAAACCTCAATGACAGCTGCAACAGAACCGACACAAATAAACAGGCTCAGGACGCAACGATAAACAAACATTTGCTCATTTTCTTCTAAATCTGACCTGGCAAAACCAAAAGCATGTAAACGTCTGAACAAATGCTGACAATCTGTCCTTTAAGGGCAGTACAGGAAAACTAGAGCTTAGATATTCAGCTCCACCAAATTATTAAAAGTGGTAAAGCACTTTTACCACTGTAATTGTGCATTTACTTCAATCATCCTATCTGTGATGTCCATCATAAATCTGGGAGTATCTGTAACGCAAGAACAGCAAAAAGAGACTTGCTCAGTAAAAAGTTGCTCCACTCTTCAACTTTTCAGTGAAAAAGTTATGTTGCTCAATAATAAAAAAAAAATGTGATGGCATACTGCAGGTGTATTTGCTCATGAAAAACAGATTCTGTCTAGAAGATAAAGGAGCTTGTTAATTATTGAATATTGATTAAAATACAGGCAGATTTTATCCACTTAAAACAAGACACGTTTCCCAAGTTACAAGTGAAAACATCTGCCAGTGGAATAACTACTTTTTATTAATAGTCAAGAATTACTGACTAATTAGTTTTGTCTTATTTCAAGTGTACTAAAATATGTGCACAAGAAACTGTACAACTAAATACTTGGTTAGATTTAGTTTTTCACTGAAACCTTTCTACAACATTCAGCCATTATACTGACGTCTAGTCAGTTTTCAACCTTTTTTGCTTATTGTTTAGATGCTTCGTGTCATTATCACCTGAAAAAAAAAATAAAGAAAGCGCTAAATAAGAGATCACCTTCATCCACTCCCCCACATCATCAAAATCATCCAAATGAAGGAACGAGTTCTTGAGTCTGGCGATCGGGCCGTCCGCATCCAGGAGGCGACACACGTGGAATCTGTCGCAGTATCCTTGGTTCCCCGAGCACGGCGCGCCGCCAACCAGGGGCAACAGCTTCGTCTGGAAGTGACGGGACAGCACAGAGGAGGAGGTGCTGGCGCACGTCATCGGCTTACCTGAAACACACACACACAATTAGTTTGTGTTATTTTCACGACGCAGGCCAGTCCTGACATGGATTACACGCTGTAACAAGATCTAAGATCTAAAATCCAGTCTGTACGGTTTCAAATCTCCACACAAAAACAGCTGCATTAGGAACACAGCTTGGCTGATTGCCCAGAAAACATCTGGTCAGACGGCGGTAACATCTGGATGGACTGACACAGTCCGAGCTGTTGGGACACAGAGTCGTAAACATGTTGCTCGGCGGTGGAGGACACAAGGTTCTGTGTTTACCGGGCTGCTGGCAGCACATGTGGCATTTCTCCTTCATGCTGACTCCAGGACAGTCACACTGCTGCAGGCCGTGCTTCACACACACAGATTCAGCGCAGACCTGCGGAGAGAAACACACAACTCAGGCCTGATCTGGTCGGTAGGTAAACGATCGGTCCCGTTTTTCTATTCAGATGCATTCACGCCGATTGAAAGAGTAGGTCAGTACCTCAAGCTCAGGTTGCACCAAACTAAATAAATGACTTATTTACAAATAGTTGAGATCTGAATCTGGTCTCAACAGACGTCACGTAAACATTGATGTCAAAAATTATTTTCACATTCTTGGCGTTAGGGTTCATGCATTGAACAGATTGTGGAAAATATTCAATACTTATCAACACTTTCAAAGAATCTGGTTAATTTAACCAGATGTTGTCAGTTCATCCCTCCACCATGATGCTGTTTTTGTCTTATGTTTTCTGCTGATCGTACATCAGATACACAGTGACGCAGCCGGCTGGAAGGAAAGCAAACTTTGCGACTGCTTAGGATTAACTCCCCACAGTACATGCTGACGAATTCACCAGTTGCAAATATACCAAGAGAAGCCTTCAAATTGTTTGGAAACTCTTTTAAAATTTCTGCTGCTTAAGTTTGAGCTGTAAAATTATTTTATGCACACCACCGCAGTTTAGAAAGAAATCTATGATTAACAGTATGTTTGACTGAAAATGCAAAATAGGTAAAATGATGTTTGAAATGAGAACTTTATTCTAATTGGTGGTTCTGAAGAAAGATTTCTTCTGCAAATTTTGATGTATTTTTTTTTACTTCCCCTGTAATTATAACCAGCTGTGTTGAATTTAGCATAGAAAAGAGATCACAAAAAATTCAAGACAGGAAAACATAAAACTGCTGAAGGATGGGTGTGACGGTGGCGCAGGGGGAAAGCACAACCCATGTGTGGAGCCATCAGAGCTCAATGCGGGTCCAAGTCCTCCGATGACCTTTGCTGCAGGTCTTCCCGCTTTTGCATAAACCACAACAGCCAAATAAACCTTTCAAAATAAATGCTGAAGACGTCCCAAAATGGCTCAAAATAGTCAAATCAGATCCACATAAGGCACAATGATTGTAGAAAACACAAACTAAATGAATCAAAATAATTAATTAAAAACGTGAATATTTAACAGTGGAATTTGAAGCGTTTTATTTATTTCTTTGTCTTTGCTGATGATTGTTTTTAATTTTATGAATATAAATTAATTATCTGCTTTTGTTTGGATCATCTCTGTTTCATTTTTTGCTTTGGTTTCATCTTCCATGTTGATGTTTTTCCCTGGTTTATTTCTTTCAGACTCAGTCTCTAATCTGGTTCTAATTAGCTGATAAACCAAAATGTATCGCATCCAGGTGAATATTACAGACAATAATTATTAAAACACAAAAATGAACACCTGAAAACTTGCTTTTGTTTTTCTTTATTTCTGTGTAAATTATGTTTCCCTGAAGAATTTTTTTATGACTCAGATCATGAAAGATTAGAACAATTTGAAGAGGGATGGCGCAACAATCACAGCTGGAGCAAATTCCCCAAGAAAGAAAATGTGTATTGAATGCTGGAGAACAGTTTGGGGAATTGGAAGTGTGGTAAGACGGATTCGGTAATTTCCCAGTAATTTCCTGCTTAATGAGGCTGTTGTTTGCAAATAAAGCTGCTTTGTTTCATCTAATTTAGCGGTTCTCAACGTGGGCGGTACCGCCCCCCGGGGGGCGTTCAGAGGACGGCAGGGGGCGCTGGCGGACATTTTTACAAAAGGTCGGAGGTAAACTTTACACCTTAAATGCAATTGTATTGTGTAACATTAAAACATGCTTGGCTGCAACTGTATCGATTGCA